GAGCGCGGTGGCAGGGGGAGGCAGTGCCTGCGATTCCCCTTCCTCGCCACGGCCCCCAGCCCTGCCCCTCAGCCCCTCAGGGACGGAGCAGGGCCCTGGGGACGATCCCTCAGGGACGCTTTCCCCGGCCCACAGAGGTGCTCATTCCCGCCGGCGTTTGCTCTCTCCCTCCAGCGTGCATGCTGTGTGGCCAGGCAGCGGCAGACCTGGTTCTCTGGGGGCACAAAGTGGAGCAGGAAGACCTCTGTGCCCATCTCTTCTGCCTGGTGAGTACCCGAGGCTCCCTCCAGCTCCCCGACAGGCACTCCTGCCCACGCTCTACTCATCACCTCCTCCTCTCTCCTGCAGATTTTTGCCAGCGACCTGCGTTACTGGCAGGACGAGGAGTCAGGGCAGCGGAGATTTATCCCTGAAGACATTCCCTGCATACTGGAGCGGGTAGTTGACAAGGTCAGGGAGATTTGTGTCAGGAGAGGTTTGGGGGAGCTTATCCCAGAGCCCAGGAAAGAAATCCCAGCCCCTCCAAGCAGCTCCGCCACAAAAGCCTTGCTCCCAGCACCTCCACAGAGGCTCCAGCCCAGGACCCTCGTGCTCTGGGCGGATCTGTGGGCTGTGGCCCAGCAGCGGCCACATCCTGCACCCTGCCCGGAGGCGTGGGGCTGGCTGGGGAGGCCCTGAGGCTGCCGCTGACGGGGCTGCTCTGCTCTTTCCAGAGATGCTTCGTCTGCGGGGAGAGCGGGGCCGCCATCACCTGCTGCCGGGAGGGCTGCGACCGCAGCTTCCACCTGCCCTGTGCCATCGCGGGGGAATGCGTCACCCAGTACTTCCTCCCGCACAGGTACCTCCTGTCCCCTCCTCGCCCCCACCGGGGAAGGACCCAGCGCTTCTCACCTCACCCATCCCTTCCCTCTGCCCCCCAGGTGCTTCTGCAGGGAGCACCGCCCGGAGCAGGAGGTGGAGGCGGCTCCAGACAAGGACACCACCTGCATCATCTGCCTGGAGCCGGTGGAGGACGGAAAGTCCTTCCACACCATGGTGTGCCCCGTCTGCAGAGAGGCCTGGTTCCACCGGGGCTGCATCCAGGTAGGAGCCGTTCCCTCGCCCCCGGCACTCGGCAGGCGCTGGGCAGCACCAGGGTCTCACTCCTGCTCCTTTGGTTTCCCCTGCAGGGCCAGGCTCAGTACGCTGGCACTATTGCCTTCAGATGCCCCGTCTGCAGAGACCAATACGACTTTCTCCACGGCATGCTCACCATGGGCATCCGCATCCCCGGGAGGTTGGTGTCCTGCCGGCTCACAGCACAGGAGGCTGCGAGCCCTGTGCCATGCCCGGGGCTGCCCCTGCAGTCCTGCCCCTCCGCTGTCGCGTCTGCCTGGGCTTCAGCTTCACGGAGGAGCTGGACACCGGGCAGGGGGCAGGAGCAGGGCTGCCCTGCATCGGCCTCATGCCGGGGCAGCAGGGGCTCAGCCTTTTCCCTTTCTCCATCAGATTGCCATCTTGGGACAAGGGGCCTCTGGATGAAGCGCTAATGGAGAGGCACAGCCGCTGCGACACCTGCCAGTGCCTTTGTCCCGGGGGCAGGGAGCAGGCAGAGGAACGGGGGTAAGTTGCCAAAGCGGCACCCTGGGCTCTGCACGGGACCTGTCTCGCCAAGAGCTCGCAGCACAAGGACTGAGAACAGGAGCTGTGCTGCACAGTCCCGTGCTGCGGTCACTTTGTCCTCACAGCCATGAACCCTTTTATTCCCCAGGCCCTGGGAACTGCTGCTGTGCAGCTCCTGCGCTGCCGAGGGCACCCACCGGCGCTGCGCCAACCTGAGCACCAGCAGGAGCACCTGGGAGTGTGGCCCGTGTGCTGGCCAGGGCACCGGTAAGAGGCAAAGCACCGTCATGCCCCTGGGCTGGGGCCAGGGCCCAGGCAAGGCCTGGCAGCGGGTGCCCAGGCTGGGCTTGGCAGAGCCTCTCTGCCCCAGGAGGGCTGGGGGCACCGCTCTGCCCTCTGCACTGTGGCCTCTGTGCCCCTGACCTTCCCGCCTCCCCTTACAGCCTCCAGTGACTGCTCGGAGCTCGCTGGC